TTAGCTCCTTTAGAAAGCATGAAGTCTCATCTATCAACTCTTCCTTTATCTGCAAATATCTCTGCTGAGTTAGCAAGCCGCTTTTCTTCTATTGAGGGAGCTTATGTTACAGCTGCTACTACACTTCTGGACCCTCGCTTCAAGAAGCTACCATTCTCCAGCCCTACAGCCTCTGATTTTGCTGTTTCATGTATAAGAAATGAAGTAGCTCGATTAATCCCAAGTGAAACCACTGAAGCAACTGAAAACAGCTCAGAGGCCTGCACACAAAGTTTGTGGGATAGTTTTGATAAACAAGGCAGTTGAATCAACAGCTCACAGAACTGCAGGAACAGAGGCCATCATTGAAGTTAGGAGATACTTTGAGGAACCAATAATTCTTCGTTCTTCAAATCCACTGCTTTGGTGGAAAGAAAATCAACATCGTTTTCCCAGGCTCATGCAGATAGCAAAAAAATACTTATGCATACCTGGCTCCTCTGTTCCATCAGAAAGGCTATTTTCTAAGGCAGGGCAATTGGTATCAGAAAGACGAAATAGGCTAAAGCCAATAAACATTGATTTACTTCTTTTTTTGAACAATAACTTATAGACTTTTCTGCATTTTCATTATCATTTATTCACTCATTTTTCTAATCACTTACATTTATTCTCATTTAATCACTTATTCATTTTACAATTACTCACTCATTCTCATTTTAATGACTTAAATTCATTTAATCAATAAAAATGTAAAGATCTGAAAATGTATAAACATGTACTCGGACCATCAATACTTTCAATGAAAGTACTCAGTATTGAACCGAAATAGAAAAATCTGGTACTACCCATCACTACCACGTCTTTCCTTGTGCATGTGTTCAAGTAGTCTACTGCACATGCTCAGTAAACCAATAAATAATTTTAAAATTGGTGTCATAAAAATAACGATATTGTTGTTTATAGCATGGTTAGTAGGGGGCTGCATGGGAATTATCAGACCCTTGGCCTTGGCCTTGGGTCTGATAAATCCCATACAGGCCTACTAACCATGCTATAAATATTACGTACAGGTAGTTAATTATGTCATTGTTCTATTAATGTAAATGTAATTATAGTTGTGGTTTTACATGTGCTCTCCCTTCTAAAACCTTCTGTGGTTATACATATATATATATTTCTTCGTGTGTGCATGTTCTTGGTCTTTTTACTAATTACTCTACCGTGTGTTTCTCTCTCTCTCTCTCTCCTAACTCTCCTTTTTATCATTATTTTGTGTTGAGATTATAAGTGCTAATTGGTATTAATACAATCAATATATCAATTTACAACAATTTGAAAATGTACTTGTTCCACCCCCTCAGTTACTAATACTCTCTCCATCATCGTCACCTACACCACTGGCACCAGCACATCCTCAAGAGTAGATGTAGTTGATGTCTGTCTCCTGAGTACTTAACTCATCACATATCTCACACAATCAACCTTTGAATGATCTCTTGCATATCCATAAGCAAGCAATTGCAACTTTTAGGAAGATTGACCTAGCATTTTTAAACTGTAGGAGTATTGAAACTGTATTAACTGTACAATCGTCAATTGAGAATCAGGAATGTTCAATTTTACCAATAAAAAGAAAAATTGCTACTAATGCTAATTGTAAACCACAGCTTCAATTTTCATATGCTAAGATAAAATGTAAAACAAGACCACGCTTGGCAAAACCAAAGAATAACGAAATGTCTAAGTGCCTTGAAACCTTGAATGAAGTGGAAATTCAAGTTAGTGGACATTGCTTTCAAGGAGATGACAAGTGTTCCCATGCCACCAGTCCTAGTACAACTTTTCAATGGATTCAGTGCCACACATGGTTTCACAAGTCATGCATTACTGATGACTCAGAAGAGGAAAACATTGATGATAATGATTTTATTTGTGTGTATTGTAATGAAGATTGAATTTGGTATGGTTTTTCTGTGTGTCTTGACTGAATTACTTTCAGGTATGCGTATAATTAATTAACTAGTAAATTAACAAATGTATGCTGGGCGTGGTTTGTGGGAGTGAATCATAGATTAGTGGAAAAAACAGAAGTATACAGAATAGTAATGTACTGTCGCTAATGGCTAGTTCCAATGTGAAAGCCAACATTTTGCTCACCATGGCCACACCCACTTACGTACATGAGCGTGGGCAGGTGGTCATAAGGCTTGCTATGTCTCAATTACAACAGGTATAGAAGAAATGTAAGTGTGACATGCATACAAACAACTCACGTTGGTGAATTCAATTCTGGATGACATGGGGGCTTGCCCCCAGGTCGTAAAAATTATTTGTAGCAAAAGGAACACTCCTGGCCAAGATATAATTGAACTAGAAGACTGCACTCCAGAAAGAAATCTCACTTAGTCTGCTGTGCCACTCTAACGTTTCTTTATTTGTCATTACTTTTTCCACTCAGACACTCAGTTGATATTATACATATGTTTATTCTTTCTTGACGTACTAGCAAGCACAATATTCATTCATGTGAAATTCAGGGTTAGCAGTGACGAGAATAGGAAAAAACAAATTACAACAAGAAGAAAAGAGCATGCTAAAGTTTCAAGCCATTTCATTTGTGTGTGAGTGGGGCTACACATGAAGTTTTGATGATGAAAACATCCCATCAAACTCAACTGAAACCAACTATATAAAAAGTGACTATAACAATTATGCAAGGCTTGTAATTAAACATACAAGGAATGTAAAAATACCAGAAAAGCCTTTGCAAGGAACATGTAAGAAAATTTCCCAGTACATACGCAAGAATTTGCGAGGAACAACAAGCTACCATGGAAACTAGTAGTACCGAGCTACAATCCCAACAGTAAGACCCCCAACCTTGGCCTCATATCTGCTATTTATCATACAACCTTTATACCCAGTCAATACCATGAAGTCAAAAATTTTAGAGAAAGTTAAATTTGCCAAATTGCGAAGATTTGGCCATTAGTAAATTTTAGTTTGGCAATTACATGGCTATGTGCCATTGAGCTTCTGGATATTTGGCACAAATGTTGGATTTTTATTTTGGTGATAGGCTATCAAAACATTAAATTTGGCTAAATTAACACTATCCAAACTTTCCCACCAACAGTACACTTCACATAAACATAAAACAGTAAAAGTTAAATTAACCTTGCATTATCTGAGAGTTACTTCCTTTTGAGGCATCATGATGATGAGATTTATGAACATGATCAGCATGAGTGTCAAGAACTGAACCATGTGAATGATCATGGCTATGACTACATGAACTATGGCTATGAGAGTGACTATGACCTTAACGAAAATGAAACAGTATCATAAATAACTAAAAAGCTCTACCTCCATGATGAAATGCAAAAATCCCAATTAAGTTAACAATAAAACCACCAACAGATACAACCAATAATCGGTCATGTTTCACTTCAGGTGGTTCAAAAGCTCTCTGCAACAAAATTAAATGGATTTTATCTCACTTCAAAGTATGTACCTCAATTGCCTCTGCAAATATAAAAAAAGCAATAAATAGTAGAAAAAGTGCATTAATGAAACCAGCAATAACTTCTGCACGAACATACCTAAAATTATATTACAATAAAAGTTATAGTGATTTTTTTCTAAAAAACACTAGGTTCATGCAACACATGGACAATACATGCTGTAACTGCAATTAGATACATGTTGACTTACATCATAATATAACCATACTGACATTAACTTACCCATAAGAGTAGTGGTCATTTGGAGGCCACTTTGATACCACTGTAGCAACTAAGCCAGCAAGTAATGCAGTACAATCAAATAACATATGAAATGAGTCAGAAATAAGACCTAAACTGTTAAAAAATGACCATTAAATGAGTAACAAAGGTCTCTGATAACGAAGGTACAATTGACATTTAAATGAAACATGTGCAAATAAAACTTTCAAAGTAACTGTAATAAGTGGACATGACTAAAAGACTAAACTGAACCAAAAATGGACTGAAATACGGACCAGAAAAAGGACTGAAAATACTGAAATAAGTGTGTGAGAGAGAGCGTGTCTATGCATGGCAAACGAGTGGCAATATACCCTCGGATCTTTCCAGGCAAGCCTAGATTTATCTATAGTCACCTTGTATCAAGTTAAGATATACTTTAGCATGACTGAGTAAGTGCCAGCTCCTCGGCTCGAACAAGTATGATCACTTCTTTTTACTGTAGTGCACGGGATTCCTTTAGTATTACCTGTGAGACAGAGCACTGGAGTGATGATGCATGGTCACCACCACTACTTCCAAGTCCTCTGGCATCCCTTAAAGACACAATGGATGACTCTTCGGGGACTTTAGATGATTCCATTACTGAAGTCACAACCACACAGGAAGTTATTGATCTTACTGTTAGTAGTCAGGACAGCAGTCAGGACTCCAGCTTTGCCACTACAGATGAGAAAGACTTCATCATACAGTAAGAAGTATTTATGTTGTATCTTTGTAATAGTACACGTTTCTTCATAACTTAGATACTTCGATGGTGATAAGAATATAGCTTTTATTGCTGAGTGTCCTAGTTACTCCACTGAGAGAGTTATGCATCTTTTTTTGATCATGACAGAAAAATGGAGTGCTCTAAACAACCTATTGGTTGTAGAACCAGTGCTTCTTTTATAATAAATTCTACAATGCTTTCAATTCACAATGACGTTCGTGCTGATGACCTTGGGTCCTGGGACAACAGAGGTGTGAAGATAAATTACTTTAGTGTTTCTTTTTCATCAAATGGAAAAATTAATCGTCTCACAAGTCTTGGATCAAGAAAGCCTTCTGTGTTGCGAAGCTCTATTTACATGTTGAAGCGTACCTTTTCGAAGCATAGTAAAGATCCAAAGTTTTCTCGCTGACTGTTTGAATTACAAGGTATAATGAACTTATTGTTTTTCCTATTTAATTTGTGTGTCTTTTTGCCTGCATATAATAGATCATGAGCAAAATCACTATCATATTATATTGCTGCAGTACTCTCACCCAACTACTGCTGTTGAGGATATTGGTCAGAAACCTCATAGGAATAGTAAGTGTGGTGCCACTTACATTCGAACAAAACAAAGTGTTCGTATTATAATCATAGACACTTGTAAAGGTTGGTAATGAATATTACTTAATATCCTATGAAGCTCAAAAATATATATAAACCTTACAAACTACCAAAGGGTAGAAAGAAGGTAGGGTTGGTAACTTTCGTATGGGCCTCACCACCTAAGCTTGCAACACAAACAAATGGTGGTCAAACAGAACCCGAGGCTAGCAGAGCTGCATTTCCCCTGAGCATGGGGTCCGCCTCCACACAGCAAATTGGTCCGCCCAGTCCCTAGGACCTAAACCTAACAATGTATCCTACGGCCTACTCCTAGAACCTAACCTACACCTTAGAAGCTAACTAACTCCTATTACTAGGATTTGGACGGACCATAGCTGTGGCACAATCAGCTGCTTGAGATAAATAGGTATGCTGCATTACCTACACTGTATTAAATACAGTGTTATTGCAACACCTGTAAGGGTGTCATGGCTATCCTTTAAATTTGACACAAGTTGTAGTGTTGTAGTAACACCCCTCTTTCAATAGAACAACACCAAGCTAGATTGATTCAACACCCCATTAGTAAACAACACCCAAATTTGTGACACCCACGAGTGTATGCCAACACCTCAGTTTTAACAGTGTATGCAACTCGGGTCAGACAATTACCCACCATGTGTATCTTTCTCTGCACATCAAACTCCTGTGGATTCCCATCATAGTCAATCTCCATTTCTTGGAAATTTTTGTTTTCAGCTGCATAGTCCTGATTGGAATCCGCCATTCTTCTTTTGATCTTCTTTGCACAACTTTGCAAGAAAAGCTCAAATAAAAAGTGGGATAACTTGAAATAAGGGTGTATCAGAAAGGGTGGAAATATGATATGCCCACACAAACTTTTATAGGAAACATAAGCTTATTATTATGCAACATGACATGCATGTGGGATCTGAGA